GGTGGTTGTCCGTAGTACAAATTATTTGTTTCTTAAATTATTAACCATAACTTTCGTTTGAGTTCTGAAAGCCATTAAATTAGCGATGGTAGTAGTTTTTGCTAAGAACTACAACACACAGAAATATGCAAGAAAAATTCCATTTTACAGTTGCTTAAATTAATAAAAATTTAAAGAAACTAACAAAGCCATAACTGCATTTTGAAAAAAAAAAAAAATTTGATTAAGACAGTTTAGAAATACTGCTTCGAGTCCTGGATCCTAACCAGCACCCTGGAAAGAAGTATTGAAACATCACTTAGAGGAGAAAGACGAATAAAGAATCAATTACAGAAACTAGTCGATCAATATCTCGTGATATGAAGGCAAGGAGGGTAATATGTAGCCCGGAGCAATCCATCAGAAAGGCTCTGTACAAGAGAAGTCTGAATAGTAGGCAAGAGACCACGTTGAAAAAAAAATACAGATTAACAAAGATGCTGCAACGCTGCATGCAAATAAATGGAAAGCAATAGCCCATGATAGCCAGAGATCGAGGAGGCTGATTAACATGGCAAAAGGTGACCTCTGTAAAGTCAACGGAAAAAATTAAAAAATCCAAACTGGATTAAGGTAACGCACTTAGCAGCAATGAATAACAGAGTAGCTACTTGAATTATTACAGCTGAATATCACTTAAGCAAAAACATTTCTTATATGGAGACAACGATTTCTTTACACCTTGCTTCTATGGATGTTAAAAGTCGGATTTATTTTATGAACTATAAATAAAATGGGAAAACATTCCTAAATTATGGTCTCGGCATTGAATTATCGTAACAATAAAGAACAATTACAAGAGGGGAAAAAAAAGACAATTGCCACAGGCGAGGAATCTCTTGAGCAATCACCAGCAGTTAAGAGGCAATTTGAGTTCACAACCGCTGAGTAATTCAATTGGTCAGAGATCGCCGGTGAAGAGTTCAAGTGCGGGAGGGCAATCGTTTTTCCACCAATGAGCGGCTTCTAAAAATATAACTTCGGCCAATAGGATAAGTAGGAAACAATCTGGATCCCTGGAGTCTGATGAGAAAATCGTCCACTAAATGGGTCAGGCAAGGTTGTCGAGGGATATGATGAAGAACAAGGCAGAATTAATGCACACAATCTGGAAGTTCTTCATGTCCTGAAGTATTAGTAGGGGCAATATGTACTTTCTATGAGCTTTGGGATTTCAGCAAAGGTTCACATATCAGTATTATAAGTAATATATTACAAAATAAATATTATATCTAATAACGTAATAACGTTCATCATTTTTTTTTTTTTTTTAGTGGCTTGTGAAAAATCAAAAAAGCAACAATTTTTTATTTGACATAAAATAACATATTGCCCAAAATCGAAAGATCGAGCAATGCTAACCCTTTCTTATTCGCGTGGTTAAATTTATTTTTTATTGCATACTTTTGATAATTACTTTTCTATTATCGATATAGCAAATATGTTTTATAAACTTAACTATATTTCTCATGTGGCATATATTCCTAACAAATCACGAAGTTTGAAGATTGAAATTTAAAAAATTTTCTTAAAAGTTCTATCTCACTCCATTATCGAAAATGAAAGGTGAAAAAGCAGATTCGTACATTTTTGCTTGTCATTGGCGTAACTCTTTCCTGTAATCACCTTCCTGAAATTATTTACTTTTTAGTAATATATTTTAAAAGCTGTCATCAACCTCTTCACGAACCTATATCAACGTTTTTTTTCTTTCAGTTAAAAAATATATAATACAATATAAATAATGATAAAAACAAAATAACAATATTTATACTTTAAAATTAAGTAATTTGGATAATTTTATTTTATAACAATTAAAATTAATCAAACTGGAAAAAATAAATAAAAATATTAATTAAAAGATTTTGAAACAGAATACTGAGTTTAATTATACCTGACGACTTAAACTAAAACAGAAGACCAGTGTTGGTACAGAAAAAAAAAATTAAAAACGTAGGTTTCATTGAATAATTATTCTCTGAAATTCGATTACTCAAAAACCTTAGAATTACTTCCCTAGATGACTTACACAATAAAATTCAGATAATTGGAATTTATATTCTTTTAAATCAATTTAAATAGAGTTTTTCCTAAATATTTCTGCATTATGTAAGTACTTTTCTTGTTGAGTGAAGACGATAAAAAAAAAACTATTTCAGAAGTATAAAAAGCAAAACAAAAAAAAACACAATTTAATATATGTAATATTTTATTCGATTCAATCTTCTGGGACATCGGAGTGATCTCAAATATTATAGATATATGACAAAAATTTTAAATTTTCAAGAAACTTATTTTTGTATAAGAAATTAAGGAGATTAATGGAACGCTTGAATCGCTCGTGAGATCCACATACGCCGTAAAAATAACATAATCTTAAATACATATTGTTCAATGGCAAACAAACGACGTAATACAAATCAATAAAACGAATGCAAATTTTTAAAGTCCTTATCCTGCATGGCTATATACAATATACTTCTCACGAACTAGATTAAAACCCAAAAATGTAGGGATTCCAAAGTATTAAATATTCATTAACCATTATTTCCAAAACTATCATGAAGCGGAAATGCTTTTAATCGATTTTTTTTTCAACAGGAAATCCTCCATTGCAAAAATGCTGCTTCTATGAGTGCAAAAATGCTCAGACGATTTTATATAAATTTTTGTAAAATACAAGCTTAAGCTTGAGTACTGAATTTTTCTACATATTTAGTAATAACTAATATTTCATGCTTCTTATAAAAATTATAAAAATGGATACTGCATTTCTTTATTATATATATAAATGTTAACTTCTTGAAATTTTAACCAATATAAAAATATAATCATTACATACTTCTGATGGATATTAAGATAAAATATCGTTTTGTGGTAACGAAATTTTCAAGATATCTAACAAACATTATACGAATAAAAACACAAGTAAATATTCTATTATTGTATGATTATTAGTAAATATCATATATTTTTATTATTAAATATTATATTAGTTAATTTGATTAAAATATTAATATGAATAAATAAAAACAATTCAAATAAGTATGTCATTTTGTAGTTCAAAATATAATTAATAAATGGTTGCTATGGCAACAATACTCAAGGTTAAACAAATGGAAGAATATAGATTTTTGAACGACATGCAAATAAAATATAGAAATCGTTCAAGTTAATTTAGAAATGATTTATACCTTACTTCCATAGCAACGTAGAAGGAAATTTAAATTCACTTCTTGGGTATTATAAATGCGTCGTTAATTTCTTAGTTTTTTTTTTTTTTTTTATTAATTGAATACTAATACACTTTGCCATATTGAAGAGCATTAATATTAGGGCTACATTAATCATGCACACAATATGCACATACAAATAATAAATAAGATAGAGATAATAAAGGAAAAGAAATATAGAAAAATAAAATAAGTAAATTAATATGCATATGTACAAAAAATGAAATAATATATAGAAGCTAAATGAAATTAAAATAAATAAAACTCATTCACACCTATATACAATATTTTTCTGATTATATGAGCCAAATAATAATTTGTATTTTTAAACGACAAAAATATTTCATTTAATTATTTATGTTTCAGTAACTCTTTAAATGGGGTTCGTAAACAGTAAATGTCTTCAAATTTTAAGATTCATGTCCATTCCTATGAGACACATTAACAATACATAAGTTTAAAGTACGAAGGAATAAGTACGAGAAAAAAAAAAGCTTTTTCAAGTTAATAAGAAAAATATTTTTATACACATTCCATATAACATAAATACATATCTTTGAGTCATTTAAAAATTTCTAGAAATCCATTCAAGATTGTGGGTCATACAGTATATTAACTTGTGGCTTTAAAACAATACTTAAAATAAAATTACAACAATAAAATAAAATTTTCGTAGTAAAATGACGTTGATTTCGACCTCTGCTCGGTAAGGAAATAACTAAAAAAAAAAAATCCCAAATGACGCAATTCTTTTATTATATTAAAAATGGTAAAAGGAGATCATGGTTCAACGTACCCGCATTAATAAAATGAATTTTTAACGAAATGTCGTAGTTATTACATTAATTAATCTATAACGACTTTATTTATATTTAGAAAGGTACCAATTATTTGGAATACTTTCAATAATAGAGAGAAAAAACACAAAGGAGAAACAACGCAAGTAACTTTTAATTTGAGACATATTTATTTTAAGAATTTTGAGGTAAAAAGCTGTAAAATGTAATATTGCTAGAACTAAAGACCGGTCCATTAGCATGTTAACATGACAATGCAGTTAATCAGGGCCGTTTTTGTATTTAACAAGACTAGTGCTTTAACTACTCTGGGAGCGCTCGCATAAGGAAATATAAATTTCAAAATATTAATTTAACCTCTTACAGTAAGAAGTTAAAGAGAATTTAGTAATAAGAAAAAATATTATATAAATATAGATAATCATTTTATTTATTTATTTTTTTTATAAATCTATTACTAGGTCTTTACAATTCACTGATAGGGGAACATATATATTTCATAGTTAATCTGGCATTTACTGATATCAGTTTCAAGGAATGCGTGAATGAAATATAATCGATATTGGTATCGATTTATCTTTTTCTACGCTATGGAAAGATCACTGAATGTAACTCATGTATAATGTTAATATGATACACGTACTACAAACGTATACATATATAGTAAGACACGAGACTGCTTTAGGATGTAATTCTAGCGCGGTCGCCATGACAACTGCTAAGGTTACAAGGACCATGTGGTCGGTCCACACTAGTCCCAGTTTGACCTTCCCGCACGTTGTCAGTCTTGCCTCTATCCCATTCAGGTATATACGCGATTAAACGGATGAGACGCTGGTAGTAACTGTATAATAATAGGATATTATAAGTAAAATCTAAGTTACAGACACAATGAACGACACGACACTAGGAGTAGGTTGCATGCTGTTACCTTTCTTCTTTGGTGCTTTCTGCTCTGCTCCCGGCTGGTCCCAGACCAAGACGTGCTTGGCAGTTCCGTTCGTCGTCGGCATGGCGCGCGGATGATCGCTACTGATCGGAAAGGATCGAATGCTGGCACTTATGCAACTCTGTTATCAGGCAACTGATAAGGCAGTCCCACCGTCCTCACACACTCCCATCGGGATCATACTGGGCTCTCGTCCCGGTCCCGGCAAAGTGGAGGGGGGTACGATGTATCGAGTCTACTGTCGATCCTTGGAGTCGATTGTAGCCTTCCCTCTCACTCGCTCCGATACCGGCACTTTTTGTGCTTCTTAGTCTCGTTAACGCAGTGCCCTTTCCGTTCTACAAAAAAGAAAGCCCAGGAGGGCTCACAAGCTTTGTGGGTCTATTGCTTACCGTTAAAGCTGGAAAGGGAGTCATCATTCAACGCCAATTAACTTCGAACCTAATGGTCTAGGAAGGTATGTACTTCTCTCCTTTTCTTTCTTTTTTTTCTATTTATTTATTAGTCTTTCATATAATATATATGTACAATGAATGCATAGCGAAATAATTTAAAAATGAATAATAATTTTTCATAATATAACAAACTATATCTCAGAAAAATAAAATTAAAAATATGAACATAATAATAGTGGTAATATATTAATTAAGACCATAAAGAAATTAAGAAATAACTAATTACTGAATACCGTAAGATGGGATAACTTTGGGACAGCGGATAAAATTTAGTTTGTGCTTATCCTGTGGTGTTGGTTTAGTATGCAAAAACGTTATTTGTGTAGTCATGTACTGCGCTGCGGCACACTACTCTTGGAGGCACAAGCGAAAGATTCATGAAAAAAGGAATTTTGAAAAAATCAATGAAAATAAATGACACCGAACTGCACAACGAGTGTAGTGAACTACGATTCACATACTACCGCAAGTCGATAGTGCAGTACGTGCCTACACAAAGAACATTTTTGCAGACTGAACCAACACAGTGTATCCAACACGAAATTACAAACAAACTAAATTTTACCCGCTGTCCTAAAGTTACCCACCCAGTCCCAAAGTTATCTCATCTTACGGTATTATATTGACAAAAAAAATTAAATCATCAAATATAAGATGTATCAGCAAATAAACACAAAAAACAGCAGCAAAGAGAGAGAGTGTGTGAGACCATAATATCCGTAAATAGGTTAAATATATTGAAAAAAATAACAAAATAAATGTATGATATAAGATAATAACTATACAATGCATGATATAAATGAGGTATATAAATTGACGAATATGTTACCTTAACAGTTTATTAAGTATCATCATTCGATAAACAATAATTTATATTAAGGGTATAAGGATCCTTTAATTTACATTTAAAATTGACTTAATTCTTATTATTTTAATAATCATTGTAATAGCTATTTAATAATTCCAATTTCTAGCTAAACTATCAGATATATTACAATTATTGCTAAATTTTTATATTGTACGAGGGAGGAGGAAGAGGACAGAGTCATACTTAGAAATTATATGATATAGTACATCTCACACCAACTATCTTAACAATACTGACCGGATAGAGAGAAGCAATTCAACACAAACTATCAACTCTTTTCGATTTTTTTCCCTATTTCAGAAATACAAAACATTATTCCTATTTGTATCATAATTGTTATGTTCATATTGTATTTTATTATTATTGTATAGAAATTAAAAAATGTCCCTTAACTTAATTAAAACTAAAATTAAGAGTAACTAACTCTAAACATGAATTGTATAAAGCGCTTTACGTCAAATTGGTATTGTGGAAACAAGCAAAGAACACTAATAAATTTATTTTCATTCGCTTTTAAGTAGGAAAATTTGACTAATTCTGGATTTTATTTATTTATTTAATTTTTTTATTTCGAAAGGGTAAACTAAGATATCGATTATGTTTCGAAATATTTCAGCAATTAAAAGATTAATGGACGCATGTTTTAAGTACTCCGCTTAATGATGGTCGTATGTTGAAATACTTATATGTTACAGACATTTTTCGCTTACACTAATTGATATAAGATTGCGTACTTAAAATACTAATACTAAATTTTATTTCAGGATAATCTACATTGCACATTTGTACATTTTAAAATTTTGTAATACAGACCGTATTTTGATATTCTTAATGAGTTTTATTGTTAGAAAAATATATTTTACTTTCCGAAATAATGCTTTAATTGTTTAGCAATGTCTAATTTTTCATTCTTATTGAACATTATAAACACTATGTTCTCGAAACCAACAAATGTTTTATATATATGTTTATATATTTTTTTTATAATGACAATGGAGATGAGTACAGGAATGTTAAATAAATTTAAACACTATTCTTATTTTTCAAATTATTTTGAAGCCTTTCGGAGTAATATTATTTTGTGAAAACGTTACTTTAAAGACTTTTAATTTTCTTTGTTTTACTGATACTTTGAGTAATGAGTTATATGAGTATGAGTAACTTATTAATATACATAAAAATGTATATTTTATTTTGTATTATTAACAATTATGTGCAGTATTAACAATGGCAAATGCCTATATACATGTGTGTTTATTCTGAGGATTTTGAAGTTCAGTCATTACATGATGATACACCATAAAACTGTGAAACTGTTTAAAGCATTTCAGAGTAATATTATTTAATTAAAATTTAATTTTATCGGTTCTTAATTTTTTTTTAATTGACACATTGAGTGATCGATTTTATGTAGTATGAGTCAATTCATTTACTAAAACATATTTATATATTTTATTTTAAACAAATTAATAATGATAGTTTAAAAAAAAAACAATTAAATTTAAATACATTGAGAACACAATTTAAAAAACAAAATTAAATTTTGATAAAATATATCTTAGGTAAAAAAGGAATAATATAATAATAATATAATAATTATATTCTTAAATTATGCAATAGCAACAATAATTTATTCATAAAATAATTACCAACTCATACAAAACTGCTGAAATAAAATAATTACATTAATTATTTTATCGATAAAATTCAAAGAATTAATGTGAAGACTGAAATGATAATGAATTAAAATCGCAGTCTTAAAATTTATTGATAAGTCGAAAATTAGTTCTACTTGAAAGAGGCGGTGACGAAGTGGAGAAAGTTTGAAAGTTTCTTGAAATTGACACTCCATCAAAATATAGTTCTCGTCAAAATGTGCCTCATCTCACCCCCTCCCCACCACACCGAAAATTCAAAACTCTGTTCTAATGTACGCCACTAAAAATTTTGATGGCGTAACTTGATGGCACCACACAACATCCTTCTGGGCACCAATACTGAAAAGAACTTACCATTGAAACATCCATGTTATTAACCTCATAAATTAGATAAATAATTGAATAGCAATATTTTTTTTTTAAATAAATAATATTGAAATCATCTTTTCAAAATTAAAAACGCAGTTTAAATGTATCATTGGAGCATACCACATACAAGGTCGGCGGTCCAAAGACCGATTAATCGATTCAGCTGGAATACCTAACACATTACGGAACCTCGGACTACCATCGAACCGGTAGACCCTGAAGACGTCCTAGGCCTGAGCACTGTGTCAAGGACCCGGAAAGTAGTCTGGGCTGGCGAGGGTAATGGCCAATGATGGAGGATATTCGACAGGCATGAGGGAAACCCGTTATCTGCGGAAAATCTGCAAGGGGCTTTCACATGGAAGCAGAACGTGAGAGTGGAGGAAAGTATGCAGTCATGGAAAGTATAATGGGGACGCCGATGATAGGTAATACTGCATTATAGGAAAAAAGATTGCAAATAAAGAAAGCTATCAGAAGAAATATAGTTCTATGACGAATTCTAAAAATTCATTCTAGTGTGCATTCTAAAAAACGAAAAGTTTGAGTGTTATTAAAAAAAAAAAAATCTGGTGCGCGCAACACACAACTATCACTTACCGCTGTACTTTCAATAGAAATTATTTTCTGGCAATGCTGGGCTATTATAAAATTTTTTGAAGTGCATTTAAAAGGAACTAAAGCTTAAAGCTTACAGATAACAAGTCATTAAGACCATTATCATTACAAAATGTCTATTTAATATATCGACGACAGGCAATAAAAATCTAGTCACTCCATCTGCTTTTATAAACCACACAACTTTCTTTGCATTTATAAAACACAGAATGACTAACTCCAATTTCAACATTTTTGAGTAATGTCATTTCAGTGATATTTTTAGTTGAAAAAGTTATCTATGCAGGCAATGAGTAAGTTGATTCCGGAGGTGGTGATTACAGTGTTGAAATATAGAACTGAGAATAAAGGTATAAATTTAGATAATTATTTCTTATGAAAGACACTTTATTCAATATCTGTAGAAAAAAGGTTTTTAGTATCAACAATAAAAAAACATGTATGTCCGTTGAAAATTGAGATTCGAAAATTTTCACGATCGCAATACTTACCTTTACTGTATATTGCATATATACGTAAGTGAAAGTAAACATAGATCTTATGACTTTCATATACCAGTAAATAACTGCCCTTTCAACATTTCGACCATCCAGACTTCAAGGCAAAAAAAAATTGGTATGAAGTTAGACACACAGACATAACACATCTCACACCGATAGTCTGAAATCGACATTAACTTTTTTTTTAGAGAGAAACAAAGATATTCTTTTCTTCGCACCTTGAGAAATCTTTCAATACGATTTTTTTGACAATAAAAGAAAAACATTTTTGCACAAAATCTTCGCCTTCAATCAGTTTTTATAGGATCCGGTGTCTTACCGTGTATATATGTAGCAACAATTCTTACATTAATTTTGTTTTTGGACCGAATGGGAGCAACATACCTTGATGCAAATAATTTTACTCTGGATACCCGTCCCGTTTAGAAAAAAATATTATATTTAAAATATAGCTGCAGTATGAAGTATAATGGTAGTTAACTATAGCATAATTCCCCGCTTTCATCCCTGGACCAAGATAACCTTCGAATAACATAAAAAGCAAGGTAGAAGAGAAAAAAGGAATAAAATTGAGGTTTTTAAAAATATTTTTAAGTTGTTATATTCTTTTAAGGAGAAACGAAGTCTATATTATTTTGTCTCACCTCTAAAACCCTTATATATATATATATATATATATATATATATATATATATATATATATATATATATATAATATATTTTTTTCCAC